ATGTTTCTAATCACAGCATTTTGACCTTGCAACTGGTTTCCCATTTGCAATACCACTTCTTTTATAAACATCTTCTTATCCTCAAATTGTTGATCATTATTAGAGTTTGGTGGATATTAAGGTCTATAGTTTGTGTTCCCCTGATTATTCCAACTTTCATTAGGATTTGCATGATTATTTTCTCATTGTTGGTTTCTACCCCAAATAGTATGATACTAATTAAAATTAGGATGGTTCTTCTAACCTGAGTTGTAACAGTTAGAATACAGGTTGTTTATGGTATTTAAAGTATCATATGATTAGTTAGAATCAATCATATTCCATAATGAACTTTCCCCACTTACTGAAGTGAATTAAGGCTGGCTCATTCCAAGTTGGTCCAACTTCCTTGATATTATAACAACCTGAGATGCAAGAATTGCAAACGCATCTGTGCATGAGCATTGGCTACCTTTTTGGGATTTTCCCTTGTAGAGAGCCATTGAAATTCATTTGTATCCATTTCTTCAATTAATGCATATGCTACGTCAAATTGTTTTGACATTAATGATCCACCAGCGAAGCGTCAATTGTAGACCTAAGGGATTTCATTAACCCATTGTAAAAAGTTTGAATGATTAACCAATCGGTCAGAGCATCATGTGGACACTTACTTAGGAGTTCCTTAAATCTTTCCCAGGTTTTGTATATTGATTCCCCTTTATACTAACAAAATGAGATAATATCGTTTGTAAGTTTAGTAGTCCTTGAAGGTGGAAAATACTTAGCTAAGATATTCTGAGTTAACTCATCCCAATTTTTAATAGAGCCAGGTACTAATGAGTATAACTACATTTTAGCCTTATCCTTTAGTGAGAAAGGAAAAAGCCTTAGCCTAATAGCATTGTCTGACATGCCGTTATAACGAAATGTAGCATAAAGTTTTGGAAAATTTGATAAGTGTAAATAAAGATCCTCTGAATAAGTACCCCCAAACTAGTTGTTCTGCAGTAGTTGGATAATCGATGGATTTATTTCAAACGAGTCAGCTTTTATGATAGGGGTTTGTATACTTGAGTGAATTTCATCTGTCATAGGATTTACATAATCCCTCAATGATTTATGATGATTTTCTAAGTTATTATTTTCAATGTTTTCCATTTACACTTCTAGTTTTTCAAGTCCTTTCTATTTTTTGATTTTTTTTCTTTTTTCTAACTTAGGGTCATAAGGCATAAGTCTTACAGATCCTTTATTTTTTATACACAACATAACCAAAAAAACATTAACACTTAAATAAATAAAATAAAAAATATATTCAATACTATGAAACATTTTCACAAACACCTTATTTTTCACACAAACATTTTTTTTCACAACGCTTTTCATACAAAAAACACTTTTCACATAAAAACAGTTTTTACAACACTACAGTTTCCAAGTCTGACCCTAATTACTTCAACTAAAATTCTCCTAAAAGTCAATATCAACTATTGCGATACCCGACAATGACGCCAAAAACTTGATCCCAATATTTTTTTTATGTAGTACTAAAGAAGTTGACACCACTACTTGAAGATTTTAATCCCCGGTAATGACACCAAAAACCTGATCCCAAGCAAAGTAAGATTTCAAAACTTAATATTGGGATTCTACATAAGCATATGTATCGTTATCAAGTAATATAAGACTTTCAGTTTAAGTCCCGATATTGATCCCATGGGAAAGGTTTAAACTTGAAATTATAAATTAACTGGGAATTTCATAAAAATCAAACGAAATTACTGTCACTAATTTTGAAATTGTAAGATCCAAACAAAATAGAATTATTAACTACTAACAAAACTTAAATGCAGAGTTTAAAACAGTAACTACTAAACTATATTTATGTGGTGAAGATTTCTTATATGAAAAAAGCATCTTTCCCACTACAATGAGTTTTTGGTTAAATGAGATGACATAAGTGGTTTAAATTTGTATTGTGTCAAAGAGAAGCAATTTTAATTCTCTACCCTGATTCAGTGTTATAAAAAATCATTGGCTAAGCTTAGGTTTAGTTCCTAAATCTGTGGCTAGCCTAGGAGGATGTTGGCTCCCACTCCAGTGCTCCCACTTCCCTTCCCTTGAAGACTAACTCTCGCTTTAGTTTTTAAACACTAAGATTGAATTGGGTATTTTTATTCTTTCACTCTAAAAATATCTCCAATTCTACACCCAATAAAGTATATTTCTTTATTTTTTTGCACTTAATTCCATGAATGAAACACTCCTTCATGGACTTAAATGTGATTCTCACTCTGTTGTAGAACTCTTTAGCTTAACCGCTTTCATGTAACTGAATGCACCTGCAAGTTGTTGTTGTGTGTTCTTCGATGCACTTTAATAAGCTATTTAGTGATATGCACATATCCTAAAGATATCAGAATACTTCAAGTGAAAGTGTTTTGGAGGAGGGCCAAGCTCGTCACAATCCAAGCATGATTTTTCAGGCAAAACACTAATGTTGAAGAATAATCTTAAAATTCATGTAAGTCCAAAAATCATCTTAAATGCTTGCTAGTGCATTTGAATCGCTAAAGAACATGCAAGGTTTCATTTTAAATTCACAAAAATTCATGTTCCATCTGCTTGTGTAAGAATGTCATACATCCAGTGGGGATTAATTAGGAATGATTGTGAGACATTGCTATTTAAAAAAAAATCTAGCAACCAGGTACCCAGGTACTATTTTTAAACTATCGAACTGATTTATTTAGGCGTGCCACGATCAAACCACTGTGAAATTCACGAAATGAAAAATATGAGTGGGGGGTTTTATGATGAGTTTTGATATTTGAGTGAAAATTTCAAGAATGGATAAATGAAGTCAGTTGTAATAAGCAATGTTTTGGGTGCTATTTATATAACTGCCCTTTTCTTAATTCATTTAATTTGATGAATGCCTTTCAGCTATGAATGTTTTTTTTTTTTTATCTACTCCTTTGGGGCTAGGGGCACAATTATTATTTGTTGCAGTGTTACGTAGAGAATTAGATGGGCAGAGGAGATTATATAAGCACAAGTCTTTGCAAGTCTTCTATACCACATAGATTAGTCATCATCTTCTCCCAATATCAGCCATTAATGAACATTAACAACTGTTGGGAAAGAATTGCTGCTTATAATACATTACTGAAAGAATTTTATAATTGGATTCAATCTAATTTAATTCAAAATCTACCACACAAAGAAAGAAATTTTCTTAGGGGCATTTATAAACATAACACCTAATTCTTATGTTTTTACATATCTATCACTTAAACTTTGCTTTTTAGATTTATATCACACAAATCTTTCGTATCACATCGAAAATATCATTATGTTAACTTCTTAAGAAATAAAACACACATTTTCATGAATAAATAAGGTGACATATGTCAAAAAAAGTATAGTTGTTTGATATGTAAATACATAAGAATTAAGTACTATGAATGTAAATCTTCCATTTTTTTTTTAGAAGAACAAAGGAGAATCATTATTACTATTATTATTATTATCATTTTTTTTAATTAAAATATCTTGTATTAAACATTAATTGACCCAATGTCCACCTCTCATTTAAGAGTTTTTTAACTTGTTTACCGAAGATGTCGAGCATTAAGAAAAACAAAAACAATCAACTAAAGTATGTATGTATGCATGCATGCATGCAGTTACTTCATATGTTGAATCTTTTATTGATGCTTAGTTCATATATATGAACTCATATTCTCAAGGGTAATAATATTTTGAAGTAACTATTCAAAAAATTTGCATTATTAGATGAACAACAAACTCTGTAAGCAGTATATTACAATTTAAATAAATTGTTATAATACCATATGCAAAACAAGAGAAAACATTAATATTCTTAATTTCACATTGAATAAGCTAAAGAGGTGGTGTTTTATTGTTTGAGGACTTGAGGAAGAAGTTTCTAATTGCATATAATTCACTAAAAGCTTGTGTAATTGGTATTCTTTCTATTGGAGATTCCTCTGAACAAAGAAGGCCGACTTTAAGCACCGAGACTATGCATTCCAATTCATGTTTGCTTATACTTCTCATGTGTCGAAGGTCTTCCCTAACTTCGACGTGTTCTTCCTGCAAAAGCAAGTAAGGGTCCACAATATCCATTGCACTCTCATGAAGGACAGCCTTCACAAATTCATGAAGGTTGAGGCCTTCATTGAATATTTCATCAATTGGTCTTCTTCCAGTAAACATCTCTAGTAGAATTATGCCATAACTGTAAACATCTCCTACAATAGAGACTTGATTGGCAGCCCCATATTCTAGTTGAAATCATATGTTAAAGAAAAGAGTTAGAAGGAGTACAAACAAGTGCTTTCCTGAAGGTTGTTTGGTATCATTTTATTTTCTTATTTTTTACTATTTATGTTTTGATTCAAAATAAATGATGTTTGGCTTATTGAAAATAAGTTCATTATTTTCACAAGTATTTTAAATAATTTTAGCTCTTTCATGAGTTTTTAGAAATAAAAGCAAAGACAAATAATAAAAAATTAAAAATTTGATCCTAAATGGCCCCAAAGTATATGAAGCACCCTCAAATCAAGGCTTATAAAAAAAAATACTTTAATATTTAAAGAGAAGACTATTTCCTTGTCTCAAGCACGTGATCTCCATATTCAAATAGAAGCAATAAGCATTGTTTCAAATATGCCCTCTAACTAAAATCAAAGTTTACTTTGCTAAATGCATGTCATGTTCATTTTATCCTCCATTCTTCAAATTTGCTGCTTTTTATAATATGTTTAAAAGAAGATTTCCTTTCTTAGTGGTTCTTGAAAGGAAATTTGCATAGATAAAAATGCCTTTTGTTTAAAAGAAAAAAAAAAACCTAGAATATATACATACCTGGGGCAGCATATCCAATAGTTCCTTTTAATGCAATCGAGCCCGTCGAAGTTTGGGAAGATTGTGTTGTAGTTTCATCAAGGAGCCTTGCTAGACCAAAGTCACTAACATGTGCAACCATGTCTTCATCAAGGAGAACATTGCTAGGCTTTAGATCACAGTGAACCACTGGAACAGATCCATGATTATGAAGATAGTCTAAAGCAGAAGCTATATCAATAATTATATTCATCCTTTGGATTAAGGTTAAAGTGCTCCTGCTATCATTTTCAAATATTGATTGCGGATGCAACCATTTATCCAAGTTTCCATTTGGCATGTACTCAAAAACTAAGGCTTTGAAATCATTGCCTTCATGGTCGATGCTGGAGCAAGACGTTAATATCCTCCCAAGATTTCTATGCCGAACACTTCTCATTGCTTTGCATTCAGCTTCAAAACTCTTGGAGGCACCTCTTTGCTGGAGATTGAGAACCTTTACTGCGATATTTTTTGACCAATTTTTATCCATGTTTCCCACATAGACAGAACCAAAGCTTCCCTTGCCGATTAAATTGTGTGAGGAAAACCCATTTGTTGCTCGATGAAGCTCGGCATAAGAAACCTTTACATGATTTTGATCTTCTTCAAGTTTCTCCATTAATGAAAGCTTTTTTGACTTCTTTCGCCTCCATTTAGAGAATAGAAAGAATAGGATGATCAAAAAGAGAATGATGCATGTAATAGGGATGATTGTTGCTAGGAGCATAGTTAAATTATGCTTCTCATTTGAACCTGGTTTATTTACAAGGCACGATGGTAGCTTCAATTCAGCAATACCTCCACAAAGTTTGTCATTTCCAAACACTGAAAATGCACTTTTGTTTAAGAAAACACCAAGTTTGGGAACTTCTCCTTCAAGATGATTGTAAGAGAGGTCCAGTTGATGCAGGGACTCCAAGAAATCTGGTATTTTTCCGGATAAGTTGTTGTGTGAAATATTAAACTCTTCAAGGCTTCTTAGTGTTGTAAAAGATGAAGGAATGGTTCCTTGAAAGAAGTTATTATCCATGTAAAGATATTTGAGTTGCACACATTCAGCAAGGTTGCTAGGAATTTGGCCGATTAATTTGTTATTCGACACGCGAAGAAATACAAGATTTACTAAGAGGCCAACCTCGATGGGGAGCGGTCCAACCAACAAGTTATGTGATAAGTCAATTCCGAGAGAGAGAGAGGTGATGCTAAGGATTTCCTTAGGTATAGTGCCTATAAGCTTATTGTATTGGATGTATAATAGAGTTAGTTCTTGGCAACTTCCTAAATCAGAAGGTATATATCCACCAAGATTATTATCAAACAAGTAAAGCATATTCAACCTCGAAAGGTTGCCAAGACCATATGGAATTTTGCCTACAAGGTTGCTACTGCGCAAATCTAATCTCTGTAACGAGTTCAACTTTGTGATTCCCACTGGAATGGAGCCGGTGAGATTATTTGGTCCTAGACTCAACCAGTTAAGACCGACCAGATTTCCTATATCTATAGGAATGTTTCCAGATATGTTGTTCATTTCTAATCTCAACAAATTTAATGTTGTGCTTAGATTTACAATTGAGTGAGGCAAGGTTCCTTCTAATTCATTGGCAGATAAATCTAGGGACTTCAAATTTGTGCAATTGGCTAGTGCTGAAATGAAGGACCATTCTTTAATGTCACTTGCTTGGAAGTTATTTAAGGAAAACATTACTATAGACAAGCTCTTTAAATTCCCTATTTTTGTATCTATGGTGCCATCAAAGTAATTGTTAAAAAGTTGAAGTAACACAAGTGCAGAAGAGTTAAACAAAGAGGATGGAATGGGTCCCTGAAGGTTGTTATTAGAAAGGCGAAGTAATTGAAGGAAAGGAAGAGTTTTTGTTGGCAAAGGGCCAATTAAATTGTTATTTTCTATGCCCAATTCTACAATAGAAGTGAGGTTCCAAAGTAAATCTGGGATGTATCCACCAAGGTTATTATACCCTAGATCTAATATAACTAAAGATTGCAAGCTTCCCAAAGATGGTGGTATGTTTCCATACAAGTTATTTGAATCTAGAGCAACTCTTTCAAGGTTGAATAAATTCCCTAAAGAAGAGGGAATATGTCCTGTTAGATTGATTTGACTCAAATCCAGTGAATTGATAGAGGTGAGGTTGCCAAGGCATGGAGGAATGCCACCTTCAAGGTTGTTTGTACCCATGTATAGCTCAGAAAGAGATGAGAGGTTACAAAATGAAGTTGGAATTGCTCCTGAAAATTGATTATTGCTCAACGATAATATTTCTAACATTGGAAACTCTCCAATAAATGAGGGAATAGCGCCACTGAAAAGATTGTAGCTCAAGTAGAGTGTTTGTAGATTGACCAACTTCACAATGCCAAGAGGAATACCTCCATAGATTTTGTTGTTATCCATGCTCAAATATTTAAGATGCACTGAAAGATTGGCAACTGACTCAGGTAATCTGCCTGTCAAGTTATTCTTCCCAAACCCTAGATACTGCAAATTACTGCAGTTTGTTAAAGCAGTAAGAAAATCCCAATCTCTTTCCTCCGTGGCTTCCAACTTGTTGTTCCGAAGAAGAAGAACTTTTAAACCTTTTAAAGCTCCCAAACTTGCAGGGATTATGCCAGTAAGATTATTTGTTTGGAAATCAATGAGTTGAAGCCCAGAACAAAGGCTAAGATTTGAGGGTATCTCGCCATAAAACATGTTGTTTCTCAAGCTAATGTTTTGCAAAAGAGAGCATTGGGAAAGAGCGTGAGGAATCTCACCTGAAAGCAAATTGTAGCTTAGATTGAGATACAGAAGGTTAGAAAGAGAACCAAACTCATCTGGAATGGGTCCAGAGACTTGAGTTTCAGAGATGTGGAGCTCTTCAAGGAAGGTGAGGTTGCCCAGAGAAGGAGATAAAGAACCAGACAAATCAATGGCGATGAGTTCTAAAGATGTGACTCTAGGTTCAGTGCTGCTGTGATTGCTGCAGGTGACACCAAGCCAGTTGCAGAAGTGTAGAGAGGTGTTTCCCCATGAGACAAGAGCTCCATCTGGGTCTGATGTGATTAGAGACCTGAAAGAGATGAGAGCTGCTTCGTCTCCCGAACTCTGTGCTGATAATCTTACTGGATTGTATGAGAAGAACAGAATGACGAGAATGGAAGCAGGTATTAGAGCCATGCATGTGCTTCTTCGTAAGTGGAGAATTAAAGTTGAAGGACAGAATATATAAAAGCATGGATGGAGGAAGAAGGAGAAGTCATCTTTGCATATTGACTTTGAATATGAAGAGCCGTGAAGAAATTATTGCATATTGTGATGTCAGCCTCAGCCATTAATAAATGATAGTTTTTCTTCAGTATAGTTCTTGAGGATCTGTAAAATTGGAATCAAATTATTTTTTTGCCTGCTTGAATTCAGGTTATAACGAACAAAAAAAATGAATTTTTTTTTAATAAAACAATTGAGAATTATTATTACTATTTTATGAGATCCATTTTCTTAATGAATTATTTGAGTCAATACCGAAGTCTATGTTTAGCTCATTTAGAAAACAATTTATAAGCATGCTTTGTTTGAATGGACTCTCTTACTGTTTTCTGAATAAAAACAGAAGGAATCAATTCAAACGCGAGCCGTGAGTTTCAAGAATTAGAAGACAGCCATGAAGCATCACGGCTTCAGCAAGCTGAGAAGTGAGGAGCAGAGTTCTTGGTTAACAATTAGTTTTTTGCACAAAATTAATAAATAGATGTATGCACAAATACGAGTACACGGTTTCTCCTACTAAATTCAGCTCATCTGCCGAAGTTACTGAATCGAGCCCATTTGTCGTGGTGGTTGAATCAAGCCAATCTCTCGAAGTAGCTGAATCGAGTTCAACTGCAATCTAATTGTTCCCATCTTCCTCAAAAGAACAGGCCAGCCTTATTAACGAGTTGAGAAGCAGAGTTTCAATTAAAGTTGAACTGATTAAAGTGAGCCGAGATTTGCTTAATGTTTCATTTATTTCCTTCTAATTAGATTTAAATAGCTTTAGGTTGATTTAACCCAACTTCCTCTTATAGTTAAAGTTAAAGATTGGTGACAAAAAGAGGGTATTTTGCAATTTACATCTTAAATTTCTTCACAAAATCTAATTGCTTAGTTATTATTTTTTGGGATTTAATTGATTTGAGATACTTTTTTTAAGTATTATGTTACAAAACTTTAAATAAATCTGGATTTAAAATTCTTGATGTGTGCCAGAAAATTTGTGGCGGTAGATTAATGGATTATCGTCTTAACATTGCATGAGAGCACGCACTCAGATAAAATAAGAATAACCACGGGATACATCTCAATTGCAAAATCCATCATTAATTTATGATTACAGAAATTTTTTGTCCCACATACTAGAGATGACAACTATATTTTTCAGATCATAATAGCCTCCTCCCCCTTCTCCACATCCCAACTTCGACGCCGGAACCAAAACCACCGTCTCCACCACCACCAGCAATATCGTCTCCTGCACAACTCCAGAAAAATCAAGCAACGCCGGAACGGTCGCCTCAATCACCGCATACGTCCCCGTAACACCTGCTACGCCAAACATCATTATAAGCACCACCTTTATATGCTTCTGCTTCAATCACCGCATACGTCCACCTCGTTAATAAGCACGTTTAAATTATCTTATTATTTATATCACAATTATTCATTATATTTATGATCTAATCCTATAGGCATACATAGAGAACGAAGGAGCTTGACCATGAGTCATTGCAGGACTTGTATACCACATGGATTACGGTTACTTCCTCAACATGCAGCTGGACTATTAAGAAAACAACAAATACGTGGAAAGAAAAAATTATCGCTCAAGACCTTTGCCCTCTAAAAAGCCCCAAGATTTTTAAATTTTGGTTTCATCTAATTTTAAATTATGCATATATATATATATGTATA